TTGCCTTAGTCTGATTGGGAATGAGGGGGAGAGATTATCTAGTATGCGTGCTCACTCTTTATTCAACATCCATTCAACATTTATTCAGTCTAAATAAAAAACTGAGGAAAATGAAGAAAAGAGTGGAAGATAATTTTGTTTTTGCGGATTGAATTTGCGGACTAAATTTTTGAGGAGACAAAAATGCACACACAATCCCCTCCCATTTATTTCTTCTGATTGCTTCCAAATACTCTTCAGATTCTTCTTCCCCCTTCCAAATCCTTTTTCAATTACCAACCGGCTGGTCCTTCCTTTGTGGTTTCATCCGATAAATGGACACTTTTCTACACAATTCCCCCACTTGTATTTGTTGCCTCTCTTTTTTTAAATGTTTGTTTTCCTCCAACTAAATTGGTTAGTTTATTTATGTAGAAACAAACTATTCTGCAATCTCCTCATTTAATTTTGAATGCTTTTTTATAGATATACCAAATCAAGTTTTTTTTCAATTGGTTCTATACATTTTTATTCATTCTTATTTTTTATTTGTTATTCTTATATGTATTTTTATTATTTTTTTATATACATATTTCCTTTAAAAATTTAGTCTTTTAGACCCTTTCTGGCAATTTTATAAATACAACAATAATTAATTAAACCCTACGGAAGTTATTAACCTTGAAGTTTATTAAGTTTTAACTGAGCTTTTATAGTAGAATACTGTCGATTTTGGTCTGTTTCATATTAATTCTTTTATTGTTTTTGTCTCTGTATTAGACAATGATTATTAAAATTTCTAAAAAAAAATTTTTTTATTAAAAATACTAAATACAAAAACATTTTAAAAGCTTTAACTGTCAAAGTGCGCGTCTTGTTTTACAATTAAAAAATTGATTTTATCCCCCAAAGTGGAGGCTTTAAATAAAAGCAGTTAAAGCCACGTTAAATGCATGTTGACAAGAAATGCTTTTTCTTTCTTTTAAAAGTTTATTTGGTAGTAAATGAGGCGAGAAAAATAAGAAAAGAATTTTGTTTATAAAAATGTTTGTTTAACTTGTTTTTATATTTAAAAATTTAAAATATTTTTATTTTGTTTTTACTTTAACTTTCACTAAAGTAATTTTTGTTTTTATTTCTTTAAAGTAGGGTAGCAATCCGACCCTTCGGGGCCGGGTAAGTCAGGGATCGGGGTTTGCCGAGGTGGGATGTCGGGGTTCGGGGTCGGGTTGCTACCCTGTTTTAAAGTATAATATCTCAAAAATATTTTACACAAACCATGGTTTGGGAATTTGTTTTAGAAATTCTAGTTCCTATTTCCAATAAAAGATTACTTATATCTATTTAGGTATATTAGATAATAATGATTACATATTTCTATATTTAAATACCCAATTAGATAATTGAATAAATTCAATATATTTTTAATAATCTATGATTATGATTAAGAATTATTTTTCAATTTTAAGAATTAAAATTTTTTATAAATAGTTATGTATTAGTAATCATTTCTTTCACTAAATTTTACATATTTTTCTTTAACAAATACGGATCGGCAAATATTTTTATGACTTTATTTCTAAATATATAAATACTTTAAATATTAAAATCAACTATAAAAATAATATTTCTTTCTCTCAAAAATAACTGTTTTTGATTATTTAAACAAGCAAAATCCTCTCAATTTATTTTGTGTAAAAACGTAATCAAAAAATAATTTTAGGCTCTCATTTATGTAATCCCCCCCTCCCTTTTTTTATTATTAACGATCACAAATAACTAAAATAATATAGCCCCACCCATTCCGCCAATTTTTTCAATCATCTAAATTCATTATTTATTTTATTTCTGTATATCAACCTGCGATTCTCGAAAAGAGTAAAAAGAAATAAAAAAAAGATTTTTTATATGTAGAGAATATTTTTTTTTATTATTTTATTTATTTATTGTTATAATTGTTTACTCAATTGACAAATATTTTGGTAAGACAAGTAGTAGAGATGGATGTCGGGGGATTGTCGATTCTGGGATACTCTTAGGATATCCGGAACCGGCTTGAAATGTCGACATTCTTGTGTTCCAACTGGGAACCCTATTTCTAAGACTTTCCTGAAGGATATTATTAAGTAAAAAGTTTTTGTTTAAAATAAATTAAGTAAAATAAAAAATATTTAAAGAAAATTTAAAATAATTTCTTTGACCGAAAAATTTATTTTAATTAAATTCTGAATATTCTGTTTACTACTATGTAAAATTGAATTTTAATTTAAAGTGAACGATTTAAATATTTTATTTCACTAATTTATTTCGATTCACTGAAATATTTTATAAAATTTTGTTTATTTTTTTTTTTGAAATTATTTGTAGAATTTATTAAAATACATACTACATAAAGCAGTTTTGGAATTTAATTTTAAATATTAAAAAAAATTATTTTTAGTTTTTTTATTTACACTAATCAAATATTAAAATATTGAATTAATTAAATTCTGGATTAATTAACCATATACATACATATTTTCGAGGATTTTTTCGTTATTTTCTAATATTTTTTGTTATAAAGAATTTTTTCTTTAATTATTAAATTATTTTATATATCTTTAAAATAAATAATGAACTAAAAATTTTTGAAAATTCTCAAAAATATAACCAACTAAAAATAAATATTTTTAAAACTATGTATCTATAACTAAACCGATTTTGAAGAAAATATTATTTAGTTTCTTTAATTTTCAAGTGTTTATTTTTAAATTTTGAAAATTATTTTTTTATTTCCTATTTTGTTTTTAATTTTTCTAAACAAAATTTTATTTAAAAATATTTTGATTCAATTAAATAACAATTTAATTTTAATTTAAAGTTTTCCTTCAAATATTTGTTTGAACATTTTTTAGAACAGAAATGTGTTTAACAATTAAATAAAAATCAAAATACATATTAAACAACAAAACTCATACCCTTTAATTACTAAAAGTTTTTTTAATTTTAATGTTAAATTATTCAACGTAGGTATATTATAGTTAAATTCTTGAAAAAATTCGGCAAATAAAATTTATATATACCGTAAATACTTTAATATAAGCCCTGGGCTTATATTTTTCAATAGGTCTCCTCAGATGGGCTTCTATAAGAGGTGGGCTTATATTAAAGAATTTACGGTATTTTTATTTATTTATAAATTAATTATTTTGTTAATTATTTTTGCTTGTTTGTTATTTACTAAATCAAATTGTTTATTGAATTTTTTTTCCTAAATAATTATTTTAATTATAAGTTCTTGCCATTTTATTTTTTAACATCTTTATTTTTTTGATTTCCTTATACTAATTCGAGAAAAAAATTAAAAAAACAATTTTCTCATAAATAAAAATTAAAATAATGTTTGTGTGAAAATAATTTTTTATTAAAGTTTTGTTCGCCCAACAATTTTTACTAAAAAATTTATTTATTTTTAGCTATCCTTTACTTTAATACTAAAATAATATTTTTATTTTTTGTACTCCCCAAAATAAAAAAATATTTTTTTCAATGCTTGACCATTATAAATGGCAGCTGAATAGATAGAGAAAGATTATATGTATAACCAAAAATTCCCCCCCCCCCCCCTTAATCGTTATATTGCGCGCTCCGCTCTATTTTTCAAATATGGGGCGGAAAAAAGGAAATTATTTAAAGCTTTTATTTTTTATTATTAATATTTGTTCATACAATTTAGAAAGCCTGGATATTTTATTACTATTTTAGACTTAAATATTAATTTTATATCAATTCTTTCCTATATTTAATTAAAGAATTTGTGATTTTCTTTTAATTTTTAATTGTATATTTTCTAATTTTAAATTCTTGAAGGGAAACGGAAATTTCTTGAATTACGCAAACCAGCAAGCAATTACATTATAATAAATTGCCTGTTACTTAAATAATTTACATAATTATTTGTAAACAATAATTTATTTAAAAATATTTTTATGCAAAAATTGAGAAGCATTAAAGGCACTTTCCACCAGACTTCATGGTCATCAAAAAAACTTTTTTTATTGATTTAGCCTTCCCTCAATAGTGGTTGTCAACAGCGTAAAATTAGTATAGAATTGCATGTGCAAGGCCGAAAGGACTAATACATAAATAAATGTTTATTCGCAAATCCTTTTTATTTCTCATTCCGCTCATTTTACACTTTTTACGTCATCTTATAGTTAAGGCAATTCTTAATGTAAAATAAATTTTTATTTTAAAAATTGTAGATGACCTGCTTTTGGCAAAATATTTTAGGTTTTGAAAATTATTGCGAAAAATGACTAAATATTCCACAAATTACAACATCCAATTTCCATCCTTTTCCAATTTAAAGATTAATCAAATTGTGATCTTTAAATGACAACCTCCCTTCCATGTCATTCACCGTAAATCCCCTTAACATCTCAAATCAATCCCTTCAATAAGTCTCTTAATCGTTCATTACAATAAAGAACTCTGGCAAACATTGCCTCAAATCTTATTGAAATTCTTTTTACATTTTAATTGTGTACATCTTCCTAATTAGCATTAATAAATCTTATTGCCCCACTTATTTGACCATTTTTATCTCTAAAAATATTAAAAAATATTTTTATCAACAGTTTCAAAGTTACAACTTGTTTCTAATTTTTATTCAATTTTAACAAATACCCCCTAAATTCATTGACAGAATTTTCATGTTCACAAAATAATTTTTTTTTATTTTCGCCCAAAAAATATTCACTCGTCGATTGGTCCTTTTACATCTTTTTTTCTTCTTCTTCTCAAACAAGCCCTCTAAAATAACAACTCTTTTCATCCGCCCCAATCGTCGATTGCTCGTGACACTCTTACATTTTTACATGTTATACATATACACGTACACTAATAAGTTTTTGAGAGAATCTCTTCAGTGCGCGAATTTTCTGTTTTCTTTTTGATTGTTTTTTTCGATTTTAAATTTTGTTAATTGCTGAAATTTTGTTATTTTCAATTTTTCTTTATTTGCAGTGAAAAATAAATAAATGAAGGTGTTTACAGTTGGGCTGGATCAAAAGCCCGTTGAAGAAAATAAGGAGAAAACTGGTATGTTTATATTTTAAAATTTTTTGTGATCAGCCCTTAAGATCGACTCATTAAAGGCCGTATATCTATACATAGATTATCATTGGGTATAGATAACCGTCTATTAAGATTTCAATATTATAATTGGCCAAAGCTTACGATTGGGGGCAATCCAAACGACATTATATAAGGAGTTGACTGTGTATTAAACCGTTTAATAAACCTGATCCGATCATTGGATACATTAATAATCTTAAATATACAATAACTTAGCCATCCCTCTGATAATTAATATTCATAATCTTAAGTAATTTTTAATATACTTTTAGACTCCCCTCCACCCGGCTATTCAACAACTGAAACTCGCATTCCTCTTCCAATGGGGCCCGAACTTCCACGTCCATCGCTTCCAATACCGCCTCCACAGCCTATTATTGTGCGCAAATCTCGTGGTTATAAAGGAATTCTGCTTGTTATGCTTTCCGTCTTCGTTATGGCTATTTTTGCTCTTGTCCTTTCTGAGATGGCATATAGTCGCCAACGAGATGAAAATTATTTCAAACTTCGTTGGGCTGAATTAAAACAACGTTTTGGTTATGAAAATGATGGAAACATTGATTACTATACACAGGCAGCTAATGCTATTAGTGACAAATTGCTTAGTTTGACTAAGAGGTTATCAGAAAATCATTTATCCGTAAAAACTCTTTTCCCCTTAAAGCAATGAAATTCAACTTCCACGTGTTCCTCAGTCAGCGTCTCTCGAAGAGGAGACAACCAGCAGCTCAACAACTCAGGACACCCCTGTAGTAGCTATTGATACTTTCCCAATGGCTCCATCAAAAATTGGTAATTCTGCCGATTCTTCAATTTCTCGTTCTTCACAAACATCAGACGAAGTAGAACCTCCACATCCTTTCTTCGGTTCTGGCAATTTTAATGGAGCTTTTAGTCAAATACGCGATGCACGTCTTAAATTTCTTCGAAATATTTTACAGAAAATTAAGCAGCATGCTGAGGATATTGGTTTTGATGGGACTATGCAGGCATTTAATTTCAAATTTTTTTCATTAAAATAAATCTATTGAAGGTTTCAATAGTCGAAGTCGAGCCCCAAAATAGTGACAGTAGCTCTACATCAAATGAAGATAATAACAACAACAATAATTTATTATCTAACGGAAATTGGCCATCAAGTATTTTCCAACGTCCCCAACAACAACAAGTTCTTCAATTCCCTCAATCTTCTTCTGCTCATTTCTTTCCTCACCCCCGCCCACTAGTTGAAGATTTTAAGGTTTAAATTTGCAAAAAATTAATTTATAAAAATTAATATATTAAAGCATTCTCGCTCTTTCCTTGATGGATTTGGTGAAATGCACCAACCATCTTTGTTTATGCAAAATAATCAAGTTGGGGAACAAGAAGAGCAACAACGCCCTCGTTTTTTCTCTCCATGGGCACTTCAGCAGAATGAATTACCATCATCACATCCAATAATGCCATCTGGGGATATGCAACAACAACAGCAAATACCTTCCTTTATTGACAAGTTGTAAATAAATGTTAATAAAATTCTTCTAAAAATTTTTTTTTAATTTTTAGTCTTCGCTGGCCAAGAATTAATGGATTCCGTCAATCTGCCCCAGAAATGCTTTTCTTCCATCCTTTCTTCCAACCACAACAACAACAGCAACAACAAATGAATATGCGTTTCCCTCCTCCACCTCCTCCCTCTTCAGATTGGGCTCATCCCCAACAAAATAGCTTTGGATTTGGTGGAAATTCTGGAGCTTTGCCTCGTCCCTCATCTTTTGAGCATTGGAATAATGGAGTATTCCAACCACAACAAAATTCAATGCCCCAACAACAACAACAAATTCCTCCAAGTATGGGAATGATGGGTGGACGTCAGATTGAACAACAACAAGTGCAACAGCAACCTCCGCAGCCTCAACAACCACAGGCAATATATTTTTTTGTTTCCTATATTTAAATAGTTTTTATGTATCTTAAATTAAAAATCATTTAATTTTCAGTCTGAGGCCAAGCTCTCTGCCCCATCTGTCGTTATTGGCGATAGTGGAGAAGAGAAATCTCAAGTTGTTCAACAACCAGGACAACAACCACAACAGCCAAAACAGCCAGAACAAAAAGAATCTTCCTGGATGACTCCAGACTTATTGCCAGCCTGGTTATTCGATAATCTCTCCTCTCGTAAATCAAACGCTGCTGGAGGCCCTCCATCGCCTCAACAACCCGCAGAAATGGCTCCTCCAAAATTCCCTTCTGTTTCAGTTATTGAGAATAACCCTTCTGGAAGTAAAAGTGAAAGTGACTCAAAATCCTCCATTGATGAGGGAAATAGCCGAAGCGACGAAACTGAGAATACTCCAAGTAGACTCTCAGCTGATGCATTGCCCGTTGAAACACCTAAAGTTATTGACATTGCACATGGAGAAATTGGAAAGATCAACAACAACAAGGATGATAAAGATGATGATAAGGACGACACTATTGGAAACTCTCATCAACCAGAAGAAGTTATTGAGGTTGATGCTGCTCCTCAATTAAATGAACAACAAACTGAACAAAAAAATGATGAACAGAAAAATGAACAAAATGAATCTAAAGATCAGAAAGAAGATCAACCAAAAGAACAGAAAGAAGATGAAAAGACTGAGGCAAAGCCAGTAAATGTTCCATTGCAACAACAGAAACTCTTCCCGGAAATGCCTTCTGTTTTCTTCCAGGTATTTTAATAGAAATATTTTTAAGTTCCCCCATTTATCTTTAAAATTTGTTTCCCTCAAATGGAAAATTCATTGAGAAATTACATATCATAATTATTATTCGCCGAATTAGATAACAGTTGAGTAGCTGGGCTATAGCTATTTATCTCCTTTAGCTAGTGCAAAAGGTTATTCGGCGGCTGGGAGCGAACCAGCATCTTCAGTAGACCGGACTGATGTGTTAGCCATTACACCACGCCGCCTTCTGCTCAGCCTTAGGAAATTAATAGCTATATGCTTTACATAACCTTTCAATTATGAAAATCTTATCTAGTAATGAAAGATATCTTTAATTAAGAGTATTAATTGGGCAACTCCACAACTTCTGTCTAACCAATTTTTAAAGGAACTAATGTGTATTCGACTGTAATTTAAATTTATTCCTTGAACAACTTCCCCTAAAATTAAAAACTCTCCTCAACCATCTAAATTTTTAATTTATAAATTATATTTGTAAAGGTTGATGACCCTGCTAATGATCACCAGGCGGCGGCAATTCAGCCTGCACAGGACAATCTCCATTTAGCAGAAAGAGCATAAAATATTTAAAAAATATTTTTCTTTAATTTGTGATTTTATTTTTTATTTAATACATACATTTCTTTAAATCAAACACCACATGGCCTTTTGACTAAATTTAAAATCAAAAAGAAATTCCAAAAAAAATTCTCGTTTAAATATCTTTATTCCACACATATATACGTTATAAACTCAAACATACTATGTATTTGGTTTGTATTTTAATTTTAGTATAAAATTATTTTTTTATTTATCTAAGAATCTGTTTAAAGAAACAAAAAATTAAAAAATAAACAGAACAATTTGTTAATTTAACCCTTTCGGACATTCAAGATATTGTTGTTACCTATTAAAACATAAAAATCACAAGATCTAAAACTATGGAAAATTAAGTAATATCTTAAAGAGGGTATTCTTGCACGGACAATGGATTATCTGCTCTTGTTACTGTCAATCAAGCATCACAAAACTTAATATTTTGGTGCAGCTAAAACTTAACTGGCTTAAAATATTCCTATAAAATTTATTATTTTTTAATTTTATTTAAAACTTATTCCCTCTTTATATTTTTTATTTAAAATTCCATAAATGCTCTCACCTGTCTACTTATTCATCAGCTTCTCCCTCTCTTCACTTAAAATTCGATGGAAATTTGCCGCGAATTCGCGTGTGAAATTGATTGAGAAATTTTAGAGAGGTGAAATAGACGAGTGAATAAATCCTCTAAAAGCATTTATAATTTTAAATTAATTATATTAAACTTTTAAAACTTATGTTGTAATAATTATCAGTTAAATTAAGTTAGGATTTGAGAATTTATAAATTAGAAATTAACCATCTGACTTCCTTTTAAAAACACTTTTAAAAACAGTTTTTAAAAGATAAAGTATCTGAGTTCCTAAGTTTCTATTCGATCACAGATGATATCTTTATGAGAAATAATTTTCCTCATTCCCTTAATTAACTATTAAACCTCAAAAAATAAAACCTGATCTATGTACTTCTAAATTATCCCTTTAATAATTTAAAAAGATAAGTAAATATTAAGTTCTTAAAAGACTTGTGTTGTGATATATCGGAAAATCCTCCCTATCCTTCCTACACTGTCAGAAAATGATAAGCACCTCTTAGTATAATATAAGCACACCCAATCAGATCGTTTCCATTATTTTTATCTCATTTTAAATCACCAATTTTAAAGTTAAATATTTTATTTTAAATTAAAGAATTTATTTTTTAATTAAAAAAATAATTTTAAAAAACAATGAGTAACAACAACAACAATGCTTCTAGTAACTCAAGAATGAGCGAACTTTTTGATCAATGCGATCGCGGACAAAAAGGCTATCTAACTAAAGAAGATTTGCATCAAGTTTGCCCACAACTCTGTGATGAAGAAATTGTTTTTATTTTTTCTTGTTTGGATACTAACAAGTTTGCTTCTTGTTTAAATTAAATATTTGAAGCTAAACTTATTTTTTAAGTTCGGGGTTTATTGATAAAGAGGAATTTTGTGCTGGCTTTGAAGAAACTTTATTTAAAGGAGAATCACGTGGTTTTGGTGGAATGCATCGTAAAATTAGTTCGAACGAATATTATGGGGATGCTCCAGAGGAAAGATTGGGAAGTCAGGGAAGGATGGAAATAGTTGAAGAAGATATAGAAAATGAAGTAGATGGTGAAGGAGGAAGTAATAATGAAGAAGGGACTAGTAAAGGAATACAAAGACGAAGGCCAAAACCACCTAGACTTACAAAAAATCAGTCATTAAGAGGACCACCACAAATGACTTTGGATATTCCTTGGTAGTAAATTAAAATTAAAAAATCAAGAGATTAATAAGAGAGGGTGGATTAAATCTGCTCTTCAATTAAAAATACCCAATACCGAGTAAAACCGACTGTGTCCACATCCAAAATTATGATATTCAAGATTTACTTTTATTTTTTATAATTTATTTTATAGTAAGGATGAAGTTCTACAGCTTTATGAGGAGCTCCAATCCTCTGGCGTGCCACAAATTATGAACCGATTTGAGGAAGTCGTAGGGAATTTATGTCGAGAAATAGACCAAAAACGTGATGAAAATGAAAAACTTCATCAACAACAAAGAGTGTAAAGAATTTTTAATTTTTATATTTAAAAATATTTTTTTAATTATTTCAATAGTGAACGAGAAAATTATAATAAGAGAATGCAGGCACTTGAAAATGAGATAGACCAGCAATTGTTAATAGCTGAAAAGAAGGCCCGAGAGGAGGTGATTAATTAGTAATAATAAGTCTGTAATAATATTGAAATAGTATCTGGATTCGATATTTTTATAAAAATTTGATTTGTTTGATTTTTAGATTTTTATTAAGTCAGAGATATCATTAGAAAAAAAATATAATTTATTTTTCAAATTCAAACAGGAACGCGAAAAGTTGGCCAAAGAAAAGGAAGAACTAAAAGAACGTCTTGAATCTGAAATGGCCGAACTTCAAGGAAATATAGAACATTTACAGAAAATGGAAAAAATGTTGAAAAAGGAAGCACAAAAGAATGGGAATCAAGAAGCTCTGAAAGAAAAATTGGAGGTAGTTTTGTAGAATAAAATAAAAAGTTTTTGTTGGATTTTTATAATTTTGATTATTTTAAAAGGATATTGCCAGAGAGAATCGAACATTGAAAAATAATTTGGCAGAAAATCATTTGGAAATGACTTTAATTAAAGCAGAATTGGCTGAAATTAAATCAGAATATGAAAATAAAACACTTTTACAATCTCTTAATGATCATAGCCAACCTAGTGCTATTGAAGCTGAACAAATACAAAGACAACTACAATTACTTTAGTAAATATTTATAAAAAAACATTTTTTATATTTTTTGTTTATAGTGATGCTAATAAACGTCTTCACGATACTAATGGAAATTTACGTGATGCACTTGATCAGAGGACTTCGGTTATTAAACAAATGCATATGGTCAGTGTTTTGTCACTCAAAATAAATAATTGATATCTAAATATACCTATCTGATTAACGTCCATTATATTGAGCGTTATAGTCTATTACAGGAGGATTACCTAATATTTAGATGTCCTTTACTCACTCTTATCTCTTTATCACTTAGCTACATCAGACTCCATCATTCGGCACTTATTTAACACCTTATTCTCGACATGACTCTGCAACTTCTTATCCAGATGGCGGTTCTTACTCTCCTGCTTCTCACCATCTCCCTAATGCGACGACAATTAATGATGACGACAATGGTTTGTAAATTGGGGGGAAATATTATTAAGAAAAGGAGAGAGAGATTTAGAGGGGGGGGTTAAAATCGAATTGTCTAGCGATCACGAGAAAAATATTTTTATTGGGTGATTAAAGATTAATTAAGAGAAATTAATGTTCAAAAGCTTTTTCGAATTTTATTGAGAGTCAATAATATACAAAACTTTTTTAAATTATTTTTCCCCTAATTTCTTCAACAAAAATGGAGATAAATAACAGCAACTATTGGAAACAAATATATATTCCTCCATGGGACCTTTTAGCTAATAAATCTCCCCGCCAACATTTTGGCACCTCAGACAAATTTTCTCAAGACTCAGGATTCCCTCAACGTGGAGGTTGTTCACGAACTACATCCTCTTCTGATTTGGAATTATTTCGTTGTGCTTCTGTGGATGCTCAATCAACTATGACTGGGGGACTAGACCCTCACCAACAACATATGTTAATGATGAGGCAATTTCCGCCTGGCTCTAATATGATGAATGGAATGGTGAAAAAATTTTGTTTTTATTTAAAAAGTGCATTTAATTGCCAGACAAAAATTATTTCATAAATTATTTCTAAAAAAGATCAAATTTTTTGCTGATTAAATAAATAAAATATTTTTTATTGGAAGCTAATTTTAGTCTTGAAAGTTATGAATGACTTTTTAAATTAAATTCTTTAAAATTTATTTTTAAAAAAATATTATGTATTTTGCAGTGCATTCAAGAATTTTCTGGGACCCCAGATAGAACATTCCGTGTTGTAATGTGTGGGGATGCTTCTGTTGGCAAATCTTCAATAATTATGCGAATTATTAAAGGAGCATTCCAACCTAATATTGCCAGCACTTTGGGTAAAATTTTAAAAAATGTAAAAACTATTTTCAATAAATTTAAGGAGTTGATTTTCATGTAAAAAGTGTTAGAGTTGGTACTCAAAATATAGCTGTACAATTATGGTGAATTTTAAAAAATAATTCTTATTTTTTAAAATTTTATTTTTAAAGGGACACTGCCGGCCAAGAGAGATTTCGAAGCCTTTGCAATTCTTATTTTAGACGGGCTGATGGTGCTATTCTTGTTTATGACTGTTCAATAGATCGTTCATTTTTACGTATTCGTGACTGGATTGAAACAGTGAAGGTCGTAAGTGTATTTAATTTGTTTAGTGACTGGAATTGAGATTTCCGGAACCATGATTCCCGACCCAAAAAACTACCTACTATTTTACATTTAACTCTTCAATCTTCTCCTAATCATCCCCTCTTTCTCAGTCACTATTCAAAATAATTTTTATTTTTCTTAAATTCCAAAAATGAATAAAAATAAATGAAAAAAGGATGCACAGGACTCAACAATGAAGGAAGTGCCGATATTGTTGGTTGCCAACAAAATTGATTTGCGCAATGCTCCCGGTGCTCATGAAAATGTTTCTAGTTTTGTTTCAAAAAAGGAAGGAGAAAATCTGGCTGAGGTATTATCTATTTTATATGTTAATTAATCTTTTTGATTAACATCCAATAACGTATTCAAAACTTTTACATAAGATTATTTTTTTAATAAATATTTTGCTGTTTTTTTAGTTATTGTCTACCGATTTTATTGAAACTAGTGCTTTAGATGGAACTAATGTAGAGACTGCTTTATTACTTCTTGTTGGGTTTGTCTTTAAAAAAATATTAATAATTAAAAAATAATTATATAGTGCAATGATGAAATCGGAAGATGACCATTTAAAACAAACTGCGTTAATATTACAAAGTTCTGACAAAAAGAAATGGCGGTGTATGAGCTGTGGAAATTGAAAAAATTTTTTTTAATTATTATATTTATGTCATATTTTTAATTATATATTTAGAGGAATTTATAGATTATTTAAATTCTTTCTTTATATTTTTTATTTTATAGTAAAGTAAACTCTATCTATAATTCAACAACTTTTTTGATTAAATAAATTCCATAAAATTAATTTAATCCAAACGTTTATGTCCCACATCCTCCCCACCTTCGAGATTATCCAAATTTTGATTATTTTCGAAAGAGCAATTTCGGCTTATGATTGATATATTTAAAAATTTTTCTCTATCTCTAATACACTATTTTTATAAATTTATTTTTATATTTTTCGAGATCTTATATTTTTTGACAAAGACATTTAATTTTTAAATTGCTATTTAAATTTCTGAAATATCTTCCCGCAATGTATAAAAAAGTTTTGTTTTGAATTTTTGTTTTTAATTTTACTTTTTAGTTAACATAGAACATTATTACATTTTTTGTCTATATATCCAATTCTTTTTTTAATTTTTCAACCTAAAATAAAATTCTTAATTATTTGCTTCATTCTACTAATTTTAAATATATTTTTGTTGCTTTTATCTAAAAATATAAATATTTTATTAATAATTATATTCCTTTTGTCTTTTTCTTAAAAAAGAATTTATGTACTTTCAATAAAAAAATTTTTTTAAATATTTTTTTGCAAAAATAAATTATTTTTTAAATAAAATCTTTGCCCAATTTTTCATTAAAAACATTTAAATAAATTTTTATAATGCGTCATTACCTCCAGGTATTTACTTTTAATCTGTTTTTACTTTTAATATATTTCTACTTATCCATTAGTGACATTTTTGTCATTAAAATATTAATTTTTATTTATTTTATTTAAAATAACTTTTAAAATATTTTGTCTCCAAACAGAAAGATTAATTTAAAATGATTCTGTTTTAAATTAGTCTGAGTAATAAAATAATTGTAAACATGATGAATTTAAATTAAAATAAATTACACAAATATTTATTCTTTAGACTTGAAATTCTGACGTGAGAAATAAATTGCAAAAATTAAAAAAAATTTTCAAGGTTAGGTTCAGACCTGCTCATGGATACGGATTTTGCTATCCGTATCCGGATATATCCGTGAGGTCAACATCCGTATCCGTTTGTATCCGTCCAACTTTTTAGGCATATCCATCCGCGGATATCCGCGGATATATCCGTTTTTTCTCAAAATGGTCAGCCTCGCTAGAATTTTCAAAATGGTCACATTTATTTAAATTCGAGTAATGGGTAGATAATGAGATAATAACTGGATGCAGCAAAACTGACCTTGCTTATGAACATCAGAGGTTCGGAAATCGGAAGGCAGAGATAGGAATTCCGACCCAACGCTGCATATCTGGGATTATACCGACAAAAAATAAAATTTTGAAAATTTTTGTTAATTTTTGAAAAGTTAAATTCCCGGTTTTGAGCCGAAATGAAAATTTCGGTTAACTGAGCAGTTGATTTTAGCGCCGCAGGCGAAAATTTTGAGAATTTTGGAAGACCAGTAAGCAATAAATCTTTCATTTTCAGCGCCGCAGGCGAAAATTTTGAGAATTTTAGAAGGGCGTAGGCCAAAAGATTCACTTTTTTTGCCCAATCCCCTCACCAAATTTTTTCCTTTTTCCCAATTCGTGAGTGGGTGGGGGAATTCCCCCATAACCCTCTGAAAATTTTCGTTTGCTCAGCTAAAAGAGTCGAGCTAACTTTGCTCGTACTCACCACTGAATTTGGTCTGAACTTGTACTTCGTATCTTAAGTGGGTAGGCACATTGGAGCGTCGTAGATAGAAATTTTTAAGTTGGAAGGCTAAGAAACCAGAGTTCTTCATTCTAGCGCCGCAGGCAAAAATTTGAGAATTTCAATGACTTAAAGGCCAGATTTTTTTCTTTTTTAGCGCCGCAGGCGAAAATTTTAAAAATTTTGAAAGGCCGAAAGCGAAAAAATTCACTTTCTTTGCACCGCAGGCTAGAATTTTGTGATGGATATCCGCGGATTTGAAGCATCATATCCGTATCCATCCGTATCCGTCCAATTTTTTAAAAAACACTATCCATATCCATCCGTATCCGCGGATATCCGCGGGTATCCGGATATTATCCGTATCCGTGAGCAGGTCTGGTTAGGTTAATGTTAAAATATCATTAACCTCCCCCCCCCCCTGGATTATATATTTTTTAAATAAATTTTTTTAAATCCTCTCCAATTGTGTGCTAAAAAAGCAGACAGGGATTGATGAAATAGTTTAATTAATGTTTAAATAATAGATATAACTAGATGGACAAAGACGAGATCTCGATCAAAAATCTCGGTTATCGAGATCGATATTTTTTCGAGATCCAATTTTCGTACACGTTCCCAGCCGATCTCTAGATACAACTAAATTTAACAAAAAATTACTATTTTTTATTTTAAAATTTAAAACTTTAAAGAATTTTATATAAATTTTTATTTACTCATATGTAGATTCCTTGCAAGTCCAGACAAACAAAATTTCAAATAATTAAAAGAGTTATTATGTATTAACAATTTTTTCAAATTTCAAACTTTCGTCAAAAAGTTTTCTTCTAAAAATTAGTTTTATCACGTCAAATAAAAATTTTATATTTTTTTAAATTTAAGTTTTAAATTATGATGAAATACTACATATTTTTTAATTTATTTTTTATAATCTTCAGACATTTATTCTTCTTTTTATTTTAATTAATTTTTTTAAATTAACTAAATTAATTTTAAATTTATATATTTTAAAATATATTTTTAATTTCTTTTTTACTTTCCGTTATAGCTTAATCTCTTTTTTTTACTTTTATTTCCGTCTTAATAAATAACATAAATAAATAATATATTTTTTTATTAAAATAATTCTTTTTTCTTCTCGTCATAAGTTTTTTTTCATTAACTTAAAGGCCTCTATTTGGGATAAAATATTTAAATAATTAATTTATTTTAATTAAAAATTTAAATATTAAAATTAAATAAAGACTTTTTTAATTAATTAATAAATACAATTTTAATAAATATATAATCTTTGTATTGTCTAAATTTAGATTTTTGTCAATTAAATAAATTATTTAAATTAAAAAGAGAGGAAATGTGTGATTGAAAAAAAAATATTATATGTATCTAGAATGTTGCAAATCCAATTTTTAGAAGCGGAAGAGTAAAAGAATACAAACGAAATTCTGGGGCTGAGGGTAGGTGGAAATGAAAGAAGCAACACCCCCTAGTAAGTAGGGTTGTTACCCGTCCCCCCACCCCCCCGTGGCGCTGTCTCCCCGAAAAATTTTCCCCGTGGCCGTCCGCTCGTCGGGGAAATCCCTCTAGTATGGTTAAAATATTTAAATATTTTTTTACAAAACTATTTCTAGATCTTGTAGCCTTAAATATAACCAAAACTCAAATTTTATTTAAATATAAAAAAATTTTTCATTCAAAATAAATTAAATAAATAATGTTATATTAAATTAAGTTTGTTGTTATTTGGTTAAAAATAGCTAAAAAATATGTCCAAAAATTATTTTAAAAAATCTTTCAATTTCATAACTTTTCAAACTTTTTAAAATTTATTTTTTTATTTCTATTTTTGGATATATTCAAATAAATAATATTATTTGTTATTTAAATATTTATTTTTTTCCTGTTTTTTTATTTCATTTTCTTTGCATTTTAGCAAACAAAACAAATAAAATATCAGAAATTTCGTGTTTAAAAACCAAAGAAAATTTCCAAAAAAAGTCAAGTCTTACAAGAAATATATATTTATTTTTTTTATTTATCTAGTTCATATTACATTTAATAATTTTCTCATGACTAAAAATGATTAAAGAATGTCCTGAAAATTTTGGGAAGGAAAAAAGGAAATTTGAGTAGATTAATAAATAATTTATTTGTTCCTTTTTTGATCATTGTTTTATTAAATATTCTTACAAAAACACGTGGGCATGAGAATTAACCAAAAAAATATTTTTAGAAAATATTGTAGAAAAAAATTATTTATTCCACGAAGATTGAATGTTCTCCTGGAAATTTTTATTTTTTTTGGAGGAAAATAAAGTATTAATTTGTAGGAATTCCCAATATATTTTTAAATTTAAAAATTTTTTATATTAACTATTTCTTATCAGTTTATTTAGAAAATACTTTTCCAAAATATTTATTCATTATTATTTTTTATTTCACACCTTTTTAACTAAAAATAGAAGAATTAATTTATAATTAGCCTACAATTAATATATTCTTTTGTATTTTTCCGCTTAAACGAACTGACAAAAAATTTAAATAAAGGAATTATTTAAATCCTTCCAAGTATTTTGTGCTTAATTTAAATATTTTTCCAAAGAAAATCATTAAATTCCGGTCATATATTTTTTAAATTAAAAAAACTAAAATAGAGAATATTTAAAAAAAATTTTAATTATCTAATAATTTTTTTCAAGTCTAGAGACAAAAGAATACCTCAAAAAAATCTACGTATTTTTTCCTTCCGAGATTTTATTAATTCTTCGAATTTAACAATATATAAAATGTAAAACTGAAAATTTTGCGAATTTTTTATTCATCAAATAATTTTGCTTCCTTAAAGCAATTGCTGTATCAATTCCTAGAAACCTCACTTCTTCAATCCTGTCACTCTATAGGAAATCTACAATGATTAACAGTAATTAGCTTATAATCAAAATAATGTAGAGGGCCTTGAATCCGTAAATTTCGAATCCGCAAGTTTCCTGTCCGCAATTTAATAAATCCTTTCCCCGCCCCTGCACATATTTTAAAAATCCGTAAAAATGTTCCGCCCCCTTTTTTGTTTGCCAAACATAAAAAGAAAGGGAGTATATAATTCCCGAACACATCATTCTTTCCCTCACATTTCGTGCCATCAGCTAATTTACTTTCATTTATTTTTTGCCTCTTCAGTTATCAAAAAGAGAAGAAGATCCTTCAAATAATCCTTTAAAATTATCTAAAGAATTCCTTTT